TAATTTTTAACTAATTGTTGATATTTGGAATCAAGAATCTCTTTTTTGTAGTATTTGAGTAAATTATCAAGGTTATTAGAATGAAACTTTTTTGGACGATTTTCCTGTTTTTTTATATGTGCATCAAGTTCATCAAAAGAAGAATTAATCCATTTACTAAAATTGGACACCTGATTATATTTATAACGAATTGAATTAGTCAATTTACCACTTGCATTTAATATCAATGCATAATCAATTTGAGCAAGCAACTCCTTATATTCTCAATTTCTTTTGTTAAATGCTTCATTCTTTGCTAAAAGGTTGCATTTATAACACCATTTTTTGAAGCAATATTCAAGGCATTCTATACTTTTGAAATAACCTTCTGCATGATCTGATCTATCATATAATTCATCATTTCGAAAAATTGTGTATTGAACTTTGGCCTTTTCATTAAAAATTAAAGTACTATACTTTGCAAAAATAGCATACTCTGCTCCAAAAAATCCATAACAGACTGTAATGTAAATAAGTAAGATGAAGTATAAGATTAAATTAATATAAATAAATATCTTTAAATTAAATTAGAATATGCTGTACTATTTTGTTCAGAATTTTCAGATGTCATCTTTAAGGATCTTTGATTTTGATTTATTAATATAATGTTACTTGATTAGTTCTCAATTGGTTCGATCAAATCAATAACATTATCACTATCTATTAGCATATTATATCTATCATTTGTTTTATTAAAAAATGATGTCAAAAAAGTAGAGCACATTCTTTTTGATTCAAATTTTTAGGTTTCTTTTTAGAAATTTTCAATATGTGTTAGAGTAATGATATGTTCTTTTAATCTAATTCCATCGTTAAAATAGTATAGAGTTATTGATTTTTGACAACTTTAACAGTAAACATGCTTATTATCATCAAATAAATTGTATGATTTGTCCATTAAAATTTTTTTTAATAAGGCTTGTCCTAAAAGGTTCTTAAGTTCTTGAAGAACTTCTGCTATTTTTTATTCTATACTTTCATCTCGAGTTCTTTTAGATAAACTTTCACTTTGAATTGCTATATATAGCATTAAATTTTACATAAAATGTTTAATAAAAACTAAACTATGTATTAAAATAAAATTATAATAATAAGAACACTTTTACCAATACAAGATTCAGTGCTTTTTCCTTTTCCTTTTCTTTGAATAAAATTACTTGTTATTTCAAAATACTCAAGTTTTTTTTGTTGTAAAACATCTTTAGAAGAACTGCTTTGTTCACCAAAATTCATAATTTTTTTTTTTTAAAAAAAAAAATTATTTACTTTGAAAAAAAAATATGATAACGATAAATTAATTTTTGTATAACGAACATTCATAATATGGATTTTTGTACATCAAACTTCTTAAATTCAGAGTAAATCTGTACACAGAAGTAAAATTTATTGCAAACTTATACACCGAGATAATTTTTATTATAAATCTGTACATTGAAGTAAATTATCATTATCTAAAATCTATACTCCAAACTTCGGCCAAATTTTTATATCTATACAATAAGAACTAACAAACTTCATCACTAAATTATCAAATCCATATAACGAGATTCTAATCAGTATATTCAGGGGCCCTGATACATTCCAACCAACATACAACTTAGAACCCTATAGTTCCCAAATTGACACTATTTTTGCTTCACCCAATATCATCTCAGAATTTTATTTTCTTACATTAATACTTCCGATCTCTATTCTTCAGATTATAAAATTATTTTTACTTCTTTCTCTGATCTTTGCAAACAGCAATCTGCCAGATCTCATAATCTACAAAATAAAAGACAGATTCCCAATTTAAAAGCAATAAACAATGCTAAATGGATTGAGTTTGTCACGTATACTAACCTTTATTATCGCTATTATAATTTTGATCATTTTAATAGCCTCTCCAACAATAAAACCAATATGAACATCCTGTGAGTTCAAATAAAGACTGCCATTCTTGCAGCAAATAGTAGTTACATCTCTCAAATTTGGATCTCTCCTCAACAACACCACAAACATCCTTTTGAACAATCTGACTCTCTTATTAATGCTCGCAAAGTTGCTTCTTTTCTATTGAAATTTAAAAACACTTTTATTCAACATCAAATCTGGCTTAACGCTACTGACTGACAAGCTATTAAATCAGCTGTAGACAAATTAGTCCTAGCGGCTAAACTTCCTACTGACACTCTTCTCTCTTTCTTAGATATTTCTAATGTCTGTAATGTCAAGAAATAGCTTAAGGATATTCACAAATCACTCTCTGCTCTTGCTCAAATTGATGTTTAACGTATCAAAGAAAATGCTATCAAAACCTTTATAGACAAAAGATATGATAACCTTCAGAATGATCCTTTCAAAATGATTGATTCAATTTTAAATAAAAAAAGCGTTTTATCATGTTAGATCACTTACTTATCAAAGATAGAAATACTTCGATGAATTACTTCACAATCGATCCAGATGATATCAAAAGCACTACTATCAATCATTTTCAAAACTTTGCTCTTCCCTCCTCACCTGCACTGCTAATGTCTTTCAGATGGACTAACCAATTCAATCCTAAAGATTATATAGATGAATCACATTACTCTAATTTAATGCAACCACCTACATATGATAAATGGGTTGCTGTTCTCAAATCACTTCCTAATAATAAAGCTGCTGGTCCTTCAGGAATTTCAAATAAAATGCTTTCTTATTTAGGTGATAAACTTCAACAATTACTCTAGAAACTTATCTGTATGTGCTTTACCTTAGGTGATGTTCTAAACGAATGGAAAATTGCTTATATCTACATATCCTAAAGCTTATGGACTGGAAATGTGACATTACAAAAACCAGACCCATCATCTTGTTGGAAACTTGTTATAATAAAGGCTTTGTTAAAATTATTACCAACAGACTCTCCATAATACTTACCAAACACAATATATTACAAGGTGAAAATTTTGCTAGTCTACCTGGTGGATCAACTAAAGCATCCATCAAAATTATTAATATGTTGCTTGAAGACGCAATCAAAAACAAAAAAGAAATCTGGATTTTACTCTAAGATCTCTCTAAAGCCTATGACAAAGTAGACTTAAAATTTCTTCGTCTAGCCCTTAACCTCATCAAAGTTCCATAACCTGCTATTGATCTTTTAATTAATCTTTTCACTGCAAGAAAAAATGCTGTCTTTACTGTACATAAGACTTCAGATTACTATGATGTAAAAATTGGTATTGATCAAGGAGAATTGCTCCTAATCACTTTATAAATGCAAATAAGTCTGCAATTTGTTAAAACACGTATATATAGACTCGCCAAGGTTGAAGTTGAAGGACCTTTTTACCAAATGATATAGCGTATCCTATATCTATATTAGTAAAATAATTGTCAGATCGTTTCCTTATTTCTCCAACAGCTACAACACACAATGCATCTAGAGGATTATCTTTAGCAATAAATGCAAAGTCCAATTTTCAAGTAGCCAGTAGAGAAAAAGAATGTACGTCTTCAATCACAAGTTTTGAATCTTTGGACATTTGTAATGGTTTGCATTCATTAATAAAATATTCTTGCAATTTTTTTCTGATACGTCAGGGCTAGGTGGGTCTTTAAACTTTCTGTATACTCTTCTTTGGGTAGTCGCTGTCAATTTTAGTGGGAACTTAATTTCAGTACCTCATGATCCTACAAAGATTCCCTTGTCGATTTCTGTATTAGTATCTAGTAAAGATGTTAAATTGTATTTGTAGAAAATGATAATAGATCATGAATATATCAGAAAAAAATGACATACCTAAAGCAATATACCACATTACTTCACTATGAAGTTGTACTTTTTTCATTTGACTCACCCTATCTATTTTATGGTCAAGCCTTTCTGCAATTTTATCGAAATGCCTATTAAGATCTTCTATTCCCGTGAATAAGACATAGAAATTAGGATATTATTAAATCCAATTAAATCCAATTAAAATACTTAATCTGAAAAAGTTACCTTCTTTTGTTTCACCTATGTGAGAATAAAAAAAATTGTAATATTTAGATAGAAATCAAGCAAGGCTACATTCACTCATGCTGTCTAAATTTATTATGACCCACTTACCAGTAACGGTTTGCATTACGATAATATGAATGTATTTTTGGGCAGATTTGATGATAAGAAGCAGGAAAGAAAAGCACAAGAATATGTAAGTATTTGGTAAATATGAAAGCGTATGCAAAAAAAATATACTGTATCAAGTAATTCACCTTTGATTTCCTTTATCAGTTCAGTGATCACAATAGCTAATCTCAGTTGTAGTCCATAAGTTTTAAATTCTTCTTTCGTCAAACTGAGAAAAGCTTTACCACTAATTTTTTTACTTCTGATTATCTCAATGTCCTTATCGTCAAGTTCCAAGTTCAAGTCCTCTCTTTGTAAAAAAGTTATAATGTTATCCTTTTTTCATTTTTTCTTTACGATATTGACTAACAGAAGAATAGCCCATTTCTGACATAGGTTCATTTTCTCTATATTCCATAGTTTCACAGTTTCACAAAATAAGAAAGAATAAAAATGTATCGCAAAAAATTCTTAAAATATTTAATAGTTAATGGTATCCTGTGATATTTTTCAGTTTTTTTATAATTGATAATTATTATGATAATTCGTGTATATTATATAAACATATTACAATATAATATTAAAATTAATTGTTATAAATCGAGCAATTAACTATAGTAATATTTATTTATAATTATAGTTTTTCTTTTTTTTTTATGGTTAATATTTAAATTATCATTAGAAGATTCTTGTAATAGCCACTTGTTTTTCTTATTTTTTAATAATTCTGAAGTTTTGCTAAAATCAGATGTTGTAATTTCATCTTATCATCCTTTATTTCATCAGTTTTTAAGTTAGAATTAGGTATTTCTTCAGTTATTCGTTGCATAATTGAATTAAGAATTTTCTTCTTTTTTTCTTTTATTAATTTAAGATAATTACGTACTCCAGCTGATAAATTATGACCAGAAATTGCTATTGTTTCGACTTCTTCATTTTCAGTATCAAATATTGATTGAATTGCTATATCTCTTCCTAAATAATTAGAAATATTTCTTTCAGATATGTAAATACTATATGCAATGCAAATTTTACAAAACATTCCTTTAATCTGTTTTTTACCTAGTGCCTGATTATGATACCATTTTCCTTTAGAAATTACTAATAAAAATATATTAAAATTTTATTAATTTAATATAAAATAATTAAAATAATTTTAATTTACCTGTTGCATTTGTTGAAATTTCCAGATAAAATTCTTTAGTTTTATAATTCAAAAGTCTCATTGAAATATATTTACGAATATCTGCATTAGGCTTAATATTACTTTAATATCTAATGAAAATGGTATTTTAAAGATATTTAGTTTCCTTTTAATTCTTCTTGATCATTTTTTTGATAAAATTTTCTAAAAATAAATCTGTTTTCTGTATCTTCAAATTGATTAATTAATAAATTATAATGTTTACTACCTTATGAATATTCTAATAGATAAATCCATATTAAAACTTTTCTAAGTAATCCTTCAGATTCATTAGAATATACAACATCATGATTTAAAATAATTTTAATTCATCATTTGTTAGACCTTCATATAGTTTTGTAATACATATTCTTATTTTTTTATTTTTTTAATGTGCTATCAAATATAGTATATAATTTTGAAAAATTATTTTTGTTTAACAAATTATAATTCCATTATAAAATAGTATTTTTGAATAGCAACTTATTGAAGCAACTGCATTTTTGAGTGAAGCTCTTGAATATCATTCACCAATTTTTGTTCTTACTTTATATAACAAATTCACACATCTCTTTTTCAATTTGTTCTTTAGAAGAAAGCAATTCTAATACATAATTATAACTAACAATTTAAGGTTTTATTAAGAGTTCATAATATTAATCCATTTTTCTGTATATTTAATTATATTAAGTGAAACATAACTTTTTTGCACTTAAATAAGCTTTTCAGTTATTGGTTTAAAAGACTAATGAATTTTTTAATTATTAATCTGATAATTAAGAAATTTAATATATTTAAATATTAATATTCTTACATTATTAAAATTTCTATTTTCTACAGTAGCGGTCATAAGTATCTGACCGCCTCTAACTCCGGCTACAAGTAAGTAAATTCAAAATTTTTTTTTTTATT